GGTAGGCCCTGCACGGAGCTCCGCTTTTCGTTTGAGAGCCACCGACAGCGGCCGCGGGCCTCTGGCAAAAAACCTCCCGCCGAAGTCACGGACGCCAGTATTTCGGGCTTTACCAGACATTTGCCAGGGGACCGAGTTTTGGGGGGAGTTGTGATTCTGTTGGGTTTTATTTGGTGGTTGGTTGTTGTGGGGTTTTTTCTCTCCCCCAAAGAATAACGATAGGTACCAATAAGTAAAAACAAACAAAAAAAAATTCCGTGTGACACCCGTTTTTTATCAGCGCCCTGCAGTTGTTAAAGCCGGAGTGCTCCGAGCAGGTTGCTGCTGAGCGGAGAGAGCCCTCGGAGAAAGGGAAAGCTCGCAGGGCTGGTGTGATTGCTGGGGCAGAGAGTGCACGGAGGTACTGAGGTATTTAATTGCGAGCGGAGAAGTTCTTGGAAGTGAAAAAGAAAAAAGCTAGTGGAGTTGCTTTCATTTGAGTCGCCGGGCCGGAGACAATAGGGAAACGCTTCTTGCTCTCCTTACCCCTGCTCTGAGATGCGGTTTGCAAGAAAAATTAAAAGAGCATACGGAGAGGCGAAGGGGAAAGAGCAGCACGAGCAACTGTGAGAGAAGAAGGAATAATAACCCTTCCAGGAAAGGCATTTTTTTTCTTTCTTTCCTTTTTTTTTTTTTCTTTTTTTTTTTTTTCTTTTTTTTCCCCCCCGAGGAGATCAGTGATTCAGAGGAGGGAGAATTTCCCCTCGGTGGCAGTGGGAGCGCGTTGGGGATCTGGGTGTCCCCGTTTGTGAGATATATCGGCCACCGAGGCAGGCGGCCGGGGAGGCAGCTGAATTTGTCATGCAGGACTAATCGTGATGGAGACTTGTTCCTATTTAAGGACCATCGGAGAAAAATTAAGGTTCTCTTAATCCCCTACCCGATTAATTTAGGCACAGCTCTTGCGCTAGGCCCGGCTGCTGTTAGGAGCAGAGTTTCTCCCAGACGTCCTTCCTTCGGCTTTGAGTAGAAGTCACCGTGTCACATCGAGACACGGAGGAGTCCTGATAATCACAAGTTCCTATTTCCCCCCTTTTTCTCTCTCTTTTTATTCCTCTTTTTTTTTTCTTTTCTTTTCCTTTCTTTCTTTTTTAATTATTTTTTTTCTCCTCCGTTTCCTTCCTTTTCCTTCCCTTTTCCCCGGTCTGACCCAGCCTGCCCGGGGGAGGGCGGGCGGCAGTGCCGGGGCCGGCGGACCCACACGGTGGGCGCTGCGTTGGCCCTGCTCATCCCAAACGTGCCTCGGCCCCAGGCTGCCGCATTTCTAAGCACCAGCTAATAATGCGCCCTGTTCATACATTAAAAAAGAGGCGAAGAAGAAGAAAGATTACCGAAATGATGGTGACATGCAAATTTCCCCCGAAATTATCATAAGTAAACATCTGAAGCCTGGACTAATAAAATCCCATCTGTGTTACTTCATATCGAGCTAGTAGAGAGCTGTGATAATGAATTTTGTAATATCTCACGAACAGACATCTCAATCAGGCACTAATCCTGTGATTTTTTTCCCCAGCCTCT